CTTCAACTATTTAAATAACACACATATCTAGCTATTCAGCCTCATACATAAGCCATCCGCAGCTGTTTTTACTTTGCAATTTTGATTCAGAAATATAGTTTTTCAAACCCTTAAAAAAACTTTCAAGCAACCCGCACAAACGGCATATAGAGCATGCATATCTAAAGCAAAAAAAAACCGCACCCCCATCGATTTGTCAAAGTGCTTGGCAAAACAAAAAAAAAGGCACATTCTAAAATACGACATGGCCTCAAACTTCAATAAGCTAACCCCAACCCGTACCTGTGCCACAGCCCCAAACATCTTGAGCTTTGATGCTGTCGCATGCATAAACAAAATGCAACACAATACGCGACGACTCATAGTTGCATGCAGCTGGGGGTTCAAAGGGGGCAGCATAGGGCATCGAGTTGGTATAGTCTTCAAACTTGCATTATTGAAAACTGCACGGATACGCTTTTAGCCGCCGTATGCAAAGCAGCAGCCACCATTACTTTTTCTTTCTTTTAACTTGCAACTGCCACAGCCGCCAGCAATTCGCGGCGGCAACAACGGCGGCTGCTGCCAAAGGATCTGCTTTGGGTTTACGGTCTATGCTCTATGGTATATGGCTTTAGCTTTGGCTTTAGACGTCAGCGCGTGTCCTGCGTCCTGTTCTTGTTTCCCTGCTCCGGCTGCAGCTGCCTCACCATGTGTCACATATTGAAAATTGTGCAGCTGTCGTCGGCGCTGCGTTCTAGCGCTGACGCGTTTCGCTGCCTGCCTTTTGGCCAACACAGCGCTCTGATAAGCCATTTCAAAGAGGTTTTACATATGCCAAGCCGAGTACCACGCGTTTGCTCAAACCCTTGCTCAACGCATTGTGGCAGCTCCTGCTGTTGCACACGCTTAATATTTGATTGAACATTGTTGCGCTTGCTGCTAATACTTTTATTGCATACTGTGCAGCTGCATCATCTGCTCTATTTCTTGATGTTGTCGTTTTTGTGATCAGCTTAAAGTTCAAGTTTGCACGCTTAGCAGCTAAAAGTTTTCCCTGCCACCACTTTTCCACATATGCAGCAAAAATTTTCCTTTTGATGCTTTTAGTGTCGTCTTATTAAAAACTTTTTAATCTTATCTCCGCTGCTGCTGCTGCTATTGCCCCCTCCGCCACCCCACCACAGAGCTGCTCTTTGTTCCCTGATAAGCTCTCGAAATTCCTACCATCTATTCCTCAGTCTCTGCCTCTATTCATCTCGCTCTCCATCTATAACAAAGCTGCGGAAATGACTGAAGCATTGAAATGGCAAAAGTTTAGCTCGTCGTACACTATGCTCTCTTTTTGGCATGTTCGGCTGTCTGAGTGGACGTGTCTCCATGTGTGTACTTATGTGTGTGTGTATCTGTCTACATTGTTGACAAAAGTTCAGGCTGCTATTAGAGGTCGTTTAGCTTGTGATTAGTTCAGCTAAGTCAGTCTACGTTGCTCAAGCTTCCTGCCTACTTTGCAAGTTTTCCAAGTTCTTTAGAATTCGGAAATGTCTCAATTTGAAAATGTGCAAGAAGAAACAAATAAAAGGAACTTTAATCACATTAAGGGTTTTAACTTTTAAGTGTTTTAGCAGATGTTTTTCGGCTATAAGCTGTCGTAGCGCATTGAATCTTTAAATAAGTTCTACCCACCAATATGCCAAACTATCGTAACTCAGCCAAGTTTCAAGCAAATTTCTTTAACCTGGCAACACTTTATAGTATATTAAGCATACTTTGATGACAACATGAAAAGAACATCGTATCTACTTACTAACCTATTAAACTGAGCCAAAACACAAGCTGTATTCAGCGCAAAAGTATTATTTAACTGGTTATCCAATACCCTCAAAATATTAATCCACGCACTAACGCTTCAGTGAAAACTCAAGATATATGTTTGCAACTTGTCAGCCAGATTTCTCACATCCGTCAACTTTCATTTCTTTAAAAATTACTCAAGTTGTCAGCATTTTAATGCATATTCTTTTGGCATATATTTATTAAGGTGTCGCCTCTGCAGAATATTTGCTCGTCTCGTATAACACATTTTCCTTACATTTTCCGCTTATCAGTCATAAAGCGTAATGTGCACTTAATCTTCATTTGCACTGGGACAACATTACGACACAGCGCCTGCGAAGTGCATGCAGACAGAGACATATAAGAATTCGCGTAAGTGTGTGTGTGTGATGGTAAGTGGGAGCATGGATTACTTCAGTTGCAGAAGCCTTTTAATTTGTGCCATAAAGGCAAGAAGGAATTGCTTAATTCCATGACAAACACTCGCAGCAGCGTGAGTGCATATAAAGGATATGGCCCAGGAAAGACAACTCTTCCCTGCCAGCATCCAGAATCCCACGGCGATGACTTGAATCAACAAAAGATTTATGCCAGACAGAGAAAGGGGACTGAGCTGAGGGGTGTGTGGGTGGGAAAAAAATCTACAAACAGGCCAGCCGTATATAAATCCGGCAAGTCGGACTTAACGCAACACTGAGTACAGCAACAACAACAACAGTAAATCTGTAAGGACGAAAATAATGCCCAGCAAAAAGTCAGTCAGTCAGTCAAAGGACGGGAGGCGGGGCGGGGCAGCACTTGAGGGGTATTTGGAAAAGCTGTGACAGCCTTTGCTTTTTCCACTTTTTTTTTTTTTTTTTTTTTGCATGCGAATTAACATGTCTGGCCTGACTGAAGCCTGTGCTCTATATCCCTAGCTATAGACACCAATTGTATGTATATAAACCGCTATGAATGTATGTATGTATGTATTCATGTATGTATTTATGCATGCATGTATGTATTCATGTATGTATTTATGCATGCATGTATGTATGCAAGTATGTATGTACGTATGCATGTATGTACGTATCTATGCATGTATGCATGCAATTCTGCATGTATGCATGAAGACACGCATGTATGTAGAATGTCTACATGTATGCATGCAGACATGTATGCTATAGACATGTATGCATGACTGTATGCATGTGTGTATGCATGTATGTCTGCATGTATGTATGTCTGACGACTGGCACAAATAATTTGCAGTTTTACAGTTTTTCAGCGCTTTTATGCTGCATGTTTTCCACTTCACAGGATTTTATGTGCCACACTACGCTCAGCTCAAGTGTTGGAAAATACAATTGCCAGCACACATGCCACATACACTGAGCGAAAAAAACATGTTTCCGCATTTTTGTTGTTGTTACAGGTTTTTTTTTTTTGCTACTGCTGCTGCTTTTGTTTGTGTTGTGCCGCCAAATGTTTTGCCTTTGCTAAAAAGACAATAAACTGTGTCAGTGCGGGCCAACAAAAGTGTGAATACGCGTATCATGTATACCCTGTACAGCAACAGTGATGGGCATATTTGTTACGATACTTCTTGCGTTAAAACTTATAATGTACATTTTTCCAAATTGGTTCTTCATATGGAAATGAAAAACGTATTTAAATGAATTTGTCGTGATTTTCTCTAATATATAAATAATTATATCAGAAAAATTTAATATATATGTAATAGAAGAAACCTTTGTAGACTTATTTGGAAACTATAAAAGAATTAAAAATTAATACCCTATATGATATATAATTCTGTTCAACTTCAATAATTCTCTCAATGCAAAAATTCATAAATAAAAATTTTTTAAATTTCCATAAAGCCAAGAACCTTGAAAACCCTTTAAAATTGTCTACAGTTCATGGTTGAATGCTTTAATTTTACAGGGCATTTAGAAATTCGTCTGAATTATGATTTGCTTATGATTCTTTAATGTACATTTGTGTAACTGCAGTCATATTTCTTCAATCTGTAACTGAGCTGGGCCTCAAGTTTTTTTATTGCAGCATGGCAAACACTTGACTACTTCATGCATTTTTTATGCTTTTTTGTTGCAGTGTTTTTTTTTTTTAATTGTTGTTGATTTTGTTGTTGTTGCTGCTGCAGCTGCAGGTTGTTGCACGTCTAACAATGCACTCGGGCTAAACACTCAGCTACACAAATGCTTAAGCGAAATCTGTGTGTGTTTGGGCTATTGCTTATTTGTTGTCGCTTTAATGTCACACAAATTCTGGCTGAATCGTGATATATATATATATATATATATATACTGCTCGCTCTGTGGCTTTCTGGACATATATCTATATATATATATATGTCCAGAAAGCCACAGAGCGAGCAGTGCCCAAGTGTTCACAAAAGACACAGACACACACACGTGCCGCAAAGCCAATGAAAAATCCTCTATAATAAAAAATAACAACAACTTGAAGCGCCCTCCAGCTGCCACTTCTTAAGCACGCCAAAGAGGCAACAGTGTGGCAAATAACTGTTGTCACACCAAAGGCCACACACACACACACATCTAACTATACATATATATTTATATATATGTATATGTATATATATATCCTTGTTGTGCTCTGCTCAAGTGTGTGACAAGTTTTTGCAGCCACTCACAACAAATTGCCATGGATTTCAGTTTTTCATCGCCTTGCCAAAAACTTTGCTACCAAATAGCTTAAAAAGTGTAATGTAACTATAATCGACACACAAATACCCTGTAAAAGAACAACTTTACATACACAAGTGCACACACACTTTAAACTCAGTTCTTCGATTTTTTCCAACCTCAGATTCTTTGTCATTTTGGGTTAGTTTTTTTGAATATAATATATCTTTATTTGGCTTATAAAAACCAACATATCAAATATTCAGGAACTAGCTCTAACAAACTCTGAGTTCACACTAAAAGTATAAAAAACCTAATTCGAGCTGCTGTCGGCTCTTTCTGTATCTATAACAAGCCCCTTTGTCAAACTCTATGATTACAGGGTATACATAAAAGATTGTGCGCTTTAAGGCTCAGACTAGGAATGAGCAACAACAATGGCGACAATAGCAACAAGAGATGTATAGAAATATAGTATATGAAATTAAAATTGATGTACATAGTATATATATAGTAATTTTTGTGTGTACTTACAACTGTGATAGGATAGAAAGGATTTATGATGGTGAAGAGTAGAATGTGATTTGGCCGTGTAGTCTCAGGACGCTTTCTCCTTAGGTCGTCGTTTGACTTGTTCAGTAGTGCTTGCTGCTGACTCTGATTTTGTGTGGACTGTAAATAGTAATATATATATACAGATATATAAGTATTTGATATAAGTGTGAATGCAAGTTTATTAGGCTTATATAGTATAACTAACAAATAAAAAGACAGCATGTATGCATTTAATATCCATTTAGATATATCTCGGTGCTCCGATTTAGTTTATTTTGACTCAAAACATAATAAATTTTGTATACACAAAATTACTAAATTGAAACTAAATTAACGCATGTGCCTCAAACTCCTTTGTCACATAGGTGCCCAGCAGAAAGATGATTGAAGATTTAAAAACCATGCGATAAAAACTGTTCCGATTTAGAATTTTATATATGTTCGAGCCAATTGCTTTACACTGGTCCACATAATTAAGAAAGCTGCAATAGTTTTACGATTAGACGAGGTGAATAGGAGGAGATTTGTTCGTTATATTATTTACCGCGTTACAGCAAACATCGTAGCTTGTTATAATTTACTTTATACTTTCTTGTTTGTTTTTGTTTGAAATTTTGCACAAATACACTTATGCTTTCGCTTAAATTTTCTGAGTTACTGAAAAATTTTCGTTTGTCTTTGCTTGAACATGTACTTAAACGTGACTTGTAAATCGTAGCATTGGAGATTTCAAAATATTTTCGTTTGACCTCAGTTCATAAAATCAAAATACTTTTAAGCTTTATACGCATTCCTCTATTCAATTTTGTCTCAACTAAAAAATCAATGCATTGAATGTCTTTGGCCATTAGTTGCCAGACCTCATGTCAAACCAGCTGCCCGCTCGCTGACTGCCTGTCAAATGCTGTGCACAACACATTTTCAATGGCCCAAAATGCAAGTTGAGCCAGCTAAAACGAATTGATTTTTCAGCTTTTCAAATTATTTTCGACTTAAATGTTGTTGGCTATTTATTTGTGAAAAATTCAAGTCAAAATAAAACAAAGTTTGCGCATAAGTTTTTCACGTTAATTGACGCTGTCAGCGAAATGCGTGCAAAAATAAGAAATAATAATAATAATAATAAGTAAAATAAAAGCAACAAAAAGCAGGGCTACTATTCGATTGTTGTTGCGAGCTCGCATAATTTGTTGGAGGGGACTCTATAAATAATTGCGGAATTTAGGTAAAACATGTACATGTCACGTTCAAATGTCAATCAACGCTTGCGAGTTGCACCGCCAGGACGGGCGCAAGAGGCAAACATTTTCAATTTTCGCAGGTGAGAAAAATGCTACTACGCTGTTGCTGCACATGCAAGAGAAACTAACGAGAGGGAGAGAGCGTAAGTGGGCGAGGGAGGAAGTGAGGTGTGTTAAGTACACATGGACAGGTGGCGGCTGATTGGTGGAGCCGGCGAAGCTTGTTTTTGGCCTCATAGACTTGACACCAAAATGCCAGACATGCGTCGATATTCGCGCTAATTAACTGGGGCATATGCCAGGAAATGCTGAAAATGTAGCTGTATATGAATGTATATTTGCTCACGTGAAGCTGTTGGCATTTTATATACCCTATATTGAAAACTAAAAAGTGACATAAGCTAAATATATGACTATTCGAAAAGCTCATAAATGATAGCGCACTTAACAAGCAAAGTTATGCCAGCATTAAAGGGTAGATCTCCTTTAAGATACCCTAGACTACGACAAACAAATATAGAAAATTAAAGGAAATGAAATAGAGACATAGACTTTAAATATGCTAGCTAATTTCCTTTAATTTTATTTTATCTTTTTCACAACTCTCCTTTTGTGTAGGATTTACCAATTATCTAACAGTTCAAAAATGATCGCATACTTAGTACTAAAAAGTTATGCCAGCATAAAGTTAAGGCTATACTTCGCATAATCTTTTGTATAGTCCGTCTTCAGTTACTTTCAGACTTTCTGAAAGCAATTCACACACGCGTTGATCAGGTTACTTTAAGACTCGCTCTCTTATTTCCTTTTAACTTTCTTCATTTTTGTATCATAGCTCTCCTTTATATTAGATTTTCTGTAGTAACTATTATTTAAAAATAATCGCATAGTACTTAGTAAAAATATCCTATGTATATCTATTAGTTGAAGAATGATCTCATACACCACGCATAAACGGAAAGTTATGCCTGCATGGGGTTAACAGCAGCTCCCAGGGTATCTTTAAGACTCAATTTCATTTTCACTAATTTTCATATGTTGTTTATTACCCTTCTTTTATATCAGCTCGTAGGGTATCTTTAAGAATTTCTATGCATCATCTTATAGGTCAAGATTAATCGCTTCCCTACACCTAAAAGTTAAGCCAACATAACGTTCGTATCAGATCCTAAAATATCTATAAGAATCGCTCATCTCATATTTCCTAGCAATTTAATTCATTTTTTATCGTAACTCTCCTTAAATGTTAGATCCTAGGGTATCTTAAAGCTTCCTTTCTGTCGAGTTCCGTCTAACTTTCTCCATTTTTATCTCGGTTTTTTTGTCAGTTCTTGCATAACATTTGTTTTTTTCCTTAAACAGCAATTCATTAACTAATTAGCGTTTGTCTTGATTAACTTTCCAACACCAGTTTTCAGCTCCTCCAGCGTTTGCTGATTTTTGTTTTCCGCTGTTGCTGTTGCTGCTGCTGCGACTTTTGATGCCACTTTCACGTGTAATTTTTTGGCTTTTTATTTTAGTTAATTTGCTGCATTTTTCACAACATTCCCGCCAGCTCGAGTCGAGCTCACTACTTAACCTTTTTTTTTAACATATTGTTTTATTTTATTTTTATGCGCTGCTTTTAAGTAGCTCCCAGTTGAAGTTTTGTTTTCTTTCCCTGGGCTTGTAATTAGGTTAATGGATCGCTGGCTGCTGCTGTGACGCATTCTTAACCACCCAAAGCTGTAGCTTTAATGAGCCAAAGGGTTGCGCACGAGCTGTACTTTAATATCACAGGGGGCTATCTTAAGGTCACGAGCGAGCTTGTAAATTGTTCAAATTAATTGACATACAGACAGCTACAGCTCTCATGATTACAGTTCACAGTTGAGTACAAAGGTAGCCTGTTCTGCAGCTTGTCAATTGCATTTCTTAAATTTCGATTAGGATTGTGTAAGGAGAAACAATCTGGATATTTTCTTGAAATAGTTTTTAGCTAATTTTATAATTCTCTCGGAATATTTATAAGTATTTATGTTGTTATATCTCGAGTTACTTAAATTTCTATTTCGATTTTGTAAGGAATCAATCAGAATATTCTAGTAATAGTTTAAAGCTAAGTTTTCAACTTAGATTCTGTAAGAAATCAATTAAAAATGTTATAGAAAAAGATACAGCTAATTTTCTAATAGTTCTCGAAGTATTTTGAAGATTGATATATACACATATTATTCCTTGAGGATACACACATTATTATTAGGATTAAAAAATGCACTTTATAGCTAAACTCTTAAGATGTAATATGCATAGCTCATAGACTCTCATTAAACAAACATTTTTGTTTAGCGTTACTTGGACAAAGCCTGCTATAGCTCGACTCTCTCACAAGAAGCCTCAAGTACAAAGAGTTTATCATGTGCCGCACAGCATAACGAACTATCATTATTGGCAATTTTTGAATATTTCCACACACACAAATTTCCCAATGAGCCCAAGTGCCCACAAAATCTGTATTTACCTTGTAATATAATCTAGCAAGCGTCAAGCAGCAGCGCGAGGGGTTTCAATCAAAAAAGGAGAAGCAAGCAAGAAGAACAAAAAATCTCAAACGCTCTTGACGCACAATTTGTATGTTGAAAAGCCCAAGGCGAGTCTAGAAAACATTTGTTTTCTGTCAAATTTGCCTTTAATAATAATAAAGATCATATATTTTGCCGTGCGCACAACGCCCACCCGCAAGGAGAAGCCGACGTTGACACTGGAAACTGTTGATTAAATTACAAAAAAAAAAAAAAAAAAAAAAAAATTTAACTAAGTGGAAACTGTAAGCGAAATGATTGATGGATGTACGCCTGACCGGGTTTGGGCTTAAGTGCATGGCAAGGAAAAAAATATGATTTCAAATTTGATTTTGTTTTATTTATTCTCAATTTGTTTTTGCTGCTATTCGAAAAGTTGTTCTATTCGTAATTTGGTTTTCCTTTTCTTTTCTGAAAAGCATTTGAAACATTTCTGGCACAACGGCGCGAACGATTTGAAAATAGCCGCGCGGACGGTCGCCGCGGCGGTGTCGTGGCTGCATACCACGGCGCATTTCAACTCGAACCGCAACGAAATGAAGATGAATTACCCGCGAGCTATTCGCCTAGGGTCTGCACCGACAGACAGACGAACAGACGAATTGTCGGACGCACTCTATGTGACGGGGGACAGAGCAGTGCAAATAAGTTTTGCATCGAGCTAAAAAAGATTTGCACTCACAGTTGATCAAATGGTCAAAAAAACACGCTATAAAGTGCGCGGCGACATATTCAACGGATACACCTAAAAAGATACAAATACAAGCGACAGCTAAAGATACAGATACATTTACAATATGCTTAAATGCATCTTTGCCAAGAAATTTAAAAGAAAAGCAAAGAAAACTTGCCTCAAGTTGAGTTGCAAGTTGAACTGCAGCAAGTTGAATTGCGAAATCTCACAGATAAAGAATCTAGCCAATATAAATAGCCAAAGATATATGGGCAAAGAGTCGGTCTATCATGCTGTCAGTGCGCTTGATGTATTGACATTCATCAAACTGACTTGGAGAATATGCAGAGATCTACATAGATCTATATATTGATTTGTAGTTGGCACATGATAATTGCGAGGTGCAAATTATTTGTGGGCAAAGTGTGAGAAACGCATTCGATGAGAAACAAAAGGAAATTACAAGCAATTCATTATAAACACGTGATGAACGAGAGTTTACAAATTATATTTATTTATTATTTGATTATGTTCATTCAAGGTAATTTTCAGATATACATTCGGTATTCTGGTATTAAAACAAAATATATAGATAGCTGAATAAGAAAAATTAAACGTCATTATATTCAAGCATTGTCGGAT